TTTCTCTAAAAGAGAATGCTTTTGTCTATAACTTTAGAAGTGGCCATATAGAAGCTATGAGTATCCATGAGAGGGGAAAATCTTAATTCATGGAAACTACTCAAATAGAAATTCAAATGATTCTCAATAACTAAATTAATGGTTACGTTAATTGTTTTTCAGATTTTAGATATGGGTAATGAGACAGGAAAACAATTTTTTACATTCTTTTAACTTTACTGACAGTTCTGAAAGATAAGTGATAGGTTTTGAAAAAAGGAAATTACATTTATTCTCTTACCAGAGGTGAGTTACTTGAGAGGGAAGAAAATCAGTTGAGTGTATAACTTGGAACATATTTGATAGGAAAATTAGCAATGTAGTCATGCCCTATAAAGTCACAGCAGGCATCACATTCAAGAACTTGAGAAGGGTCAGTGTGTGGAGCACTTGAATTTAGACATCACTGCTGATAAAATGCCTCTTTTGCTTTTACTCTGTGAAGGATTAGCATATACAGGCTTTGATCGTTGTTTCCCATGAATAGCAAGAGGAAAACAGATGGAGAAGTCAGTGTGGAAACACTTGGTTACAACTGGAGAAGTTCTGTAACTGCAAAAGCCAGGCTTAGTGTAACAAGATAGGAATCACCTTTGTAAGTCTAGAGCAGCAGAGTTTCTCAAAATGTATATGTCTATAGAAATCTCTTGGAAATCTTTACATGCAGATTCTAACGTGGATTTGGAATTGATTCTGATTAAACCTCATAGGTAGTGCTGGTGATACCTTGAATAACATGGCTGTAGAACTAGTATTGAAGTGGGAGGATACCCCACTCCTGAAACAGTAGTTCTGGTAAATTTAGCCAACTGGAAAGATAAACTGTACAACCATCAGTAACTCAAGAGGAAATCATTGGCTTAGTCTATTTTTTTGAGAGCAAAAAGCTAGGTTTGTTAACTTGTTGCCTGATGTATAATAATAGGTCACATTTTAAAAACAATTACTGCTGTATGAAAGGAATATCATTTACTTTGTTGAAACTTCTATAAGCTCACTTATATATGCTCACATAAAACCTAGAATTATTAAGGAATTCATGTCAATAGAAATGGTTTTGCATAAATAACATGTTTAGTTAAGAGATTTTTCTCTGTTTTTAACTGTTAACATTTTCCTGGTTATTTAATTCTTTTTAGAAAACTGGGAGAGATGGGAAAAGAAAAAATATCCCAGTACTCACGATATTCATTAACATTCTGCCATACTTCCAAATGAAAAAGAATTATTTCTTGTATTTTGTAATTAGTATGGCATCATTTTCTCCTAGATTTAGTCTCTAAGAGAAATAACTTTGGCTAGTGGCATACATATTGTTCCATAATTTGATATTGTGCAGTTATCCAGTCTTATTGAATAAATTGGTTCTTTTTTGTTTTGCTTTTTTTTTTCTTCCTAGTTTTTCTATTCTATAGGACTGGTTGGCCTAAAACTTCCTCCTATTAAGAAATTACATAACCTTGAGCTGCTCAGTTCTGTAAAAATTTATACCCTAAACAGTAGACAGTTTGATCCGCTTCTTTGACTTGTAATTTCATTAATAAATGTTCTGTTTCACAAAGCAATAAATGACTTCAGGATGCATCGAAAAAAAAAAAGAGAGAGAGAAAGAAAACAGAAGCAGACCACTAAGCATGAGGAAAACGGAAAGCTCATCCGAGGTGTGCCCCCAGGCCTCGGGTCCAGAGTCACTGTGGCAGGGCCAGCTCAGCGTCACTGGGGCTGGTGTCCCCCGCCACCACCTGGCCAGCACACAGCTCACACCAGCAGGCGCTGGGGCGGACATGGGTGGGACAGAACGCCTGCAGGCACTGCACAGCCAACTGTGTCACCTCGGCTGGGGCGGGGCCTGCAGAACTAGTGTCCCCTGCCAGCCGGCGATCTCTCGGGGCTCACGTGCGCTAAGCGGCTTTTAGAAGCTAGTCTGGACACGCAGGGTCTAGTCCACCGCATTCCGGTTTGCTGATGATGGAATGTGTGAATTTTGTTGTTATCACTGTCATTCCTGTTATACTTTGGATATTTTCTGGGTAAGAAGTGAGACTGGGAACTGAACTTGGGCCAGGCGCCTACTTGAACCAGAAGGCATCAGAATGCACAGCAGCGCAGGCACGGGAGGAAGGAAGCAGGCGTCGGGGCTGCCCATCCCAAGACTGAAAGGAAAAGCAACGCTCTGTCTCAGCGGAGCAGGCACACTGGGGATTGCCACACTTCCTGGCTCCGACCAGCAGGGCGGTCCCCACTGTGTACTCAGGGAGCACAAAGGTCGATTAGGCGGCTGTCATGGTCCTGGTCCAGGAGGACGCTGACCCTGTCCTGTGGCAGTGGCCCTCACCAGGTGGCACCATTCCTAGAGCACCATGGTCTGGGATGAAGCCCATGTCTCAGTGAGGTGTCGCCAGGACCTCCTGCAAAGTGCTCTGGCCCCAGAAAGGCTCACTCTGCGCCTGTGAAACACAGGCAGGCACACGGGGGGGGGGGGGGGGGGGCGCAGGTCTGCAGTCAGGAGCCCTCGAGTCCTCCTCTGGCGGCATCTGCAGCTAACCGCCTTCTTCCAAAGGCGCTGGCGTCTAGCGCCCTCTATGGTTGAAAGGAGCCTGTGTGTAGTCATGATTCCCCTTAAAAGTTTACTAAAGTGGTGACATGCTAGAGGGCTCCGGAGGCTGAGGGCTCCTGGGGGTGTGGTCAACAAGGCTGCCGACTTGAGGCAGTGCAAGGCAGCAGACAACAAGCTTGCCATCAGGAACAAGAGTGTCACAGCAGCCCCCACCGAGGTCATTCTCATGCAGTCTTCTGGGTGGAATCTCACCAGGATCCCGGTGCGTGGGCCACTAATGCCAGCCTATGCGACTAAACAGATCAGTACTTTTGCCCTGCTACTAGGAAAAACAAATTCACTATTTCTTCCTAGCTTAGAGCAAATAAGCTCCTTTAAGACTATAAAAACAACAATGTTTTACATTTTTTTCTATAGTGTAATTAGAAATATAATCACACCCCAGAATCAGATGAAATGATTCTATAAACACTGGAATGGCAGAGCTCTGTGAAGTGGAAGACCCACCCTGACCGTCTGGAAACTGTGTTTCCTCTTCTCCTCCTCATTATTATTATTGTTACCACTTTTGAAGCACGCGCTGGGGATTAAACTCAGGGTTCTGGACGTAATAGGCACTGAGCTACACCCAACCCTCACTGTGAAATGGCTGGATCCCAGCCTCAGCCACAGGTCCCATCCACATGGCCACAGCCTTGTGGTGCTGCAGGTCACCATGGAAACCAAGGCCACCAGTACTGGGTAGGTCTCTCTAGTGGGGATGTGAGGATTAACTCTCAAGGGTTCCATGGTTCTCCATGGGAATTGAAAGTTTTTAATTTAAAGCTTTAATTTCAACGATCACCTTGACTTCAGTGCAGCTCTCCAATGCTAATGAAAATAAACAAAAGCAGAGGCAGCATTAACAAAGAAAGGATATGTTTGCAGCAGGAGATTGTCTATAGGGCCACAGAATGCTACACGAACAAAGGACTCCAGGGTTAGAGAATCCTTTCTACTTCAGTTATCCAGGATAGGTTGTAGCTGTCTGTACTCTAGCTAAGAACAAGGCTAGTATAGAGTATAGTGACAGAACCATCTGTGATTTCTCTTTAAGCATATGACATCCACTCATATAAATGACTGAATTCAATTCACCTCTACTTCTATTCTCATACAAATAGGCAAATGGAATCAGACTGCACCTTCCATGCTGCAGCCTACAATATTCACCTGACCATAGTGTCTTAGACAGCATCTCAGTTCAAGCATAACCAATTTCTCCCGTGTTGCATCTCTGCAGGCCATAACTTTACTGGTGCTTCCTTTCTGGTCAAACTCAAAATACTTTAAATTATTCTGCTCGGCTCTTGGCTCTTGATCCTCAACATTAATCTCACTAAAAGCCCCCAATATCAGCCATGCCATGGCCTTAACATTAGACTGATTTAAATTTCTTCTGCAAGATTAATTAGTTCATTGTCCTTAATCTCAGTCTCATGCCAAGTCACTGGATATGAGCAAAATGTAGCCACATTTTCAGCCAAGGTATTACACACACATTCTAAAGTCCGACAGCTAATGAAGCCCTTCTTCCATACAGAAACCTCCTGAGCCTGGTCTTTATCAGCAGTATTTTCAGTCAGCATTCTGACCTTCTCAGCTCTGACTAGACTCTCCCATCAAGTACAGCCTCAAACAGCATAGGACAGCGTTTTCAGCTGCCATCTCCAAACCTTTCCAAGCCCTTTCCACAAGCCAGTTCCAAATGCTCCTCCACCACAGGATCAGGTACAGTCATAGCAACAACCCCACTCCTGGTACCAAAGTTCTATCTTAGTTACTTTTCTCATTACTGAGACAAGATAGCTGACATCCAAACTTAAAGGGGAAAATGCTTATTTTAGCTCTCAGTTTATAGAGGTTTCAGTTCACAGTGGGCTGGCTCCAATGCAGGGTGACATGGCAGAGGAAGGATCAAAGAGGAGAAAATCTTTTATAGGAGGCAGACAATAGCAAAAGCAGCAAGTGTCAAGTCCAAGTAACAAGCCACTTTCTGTCCCTTATATCTTTTCCAGATAGCCCTCACAACTGAATCCTAGTCCCCTGAATCCTAGCATTGTACCATAAATCAATCCCAGCATCACATACTCCAGCCAGCTCTGAAAAGCTCCACCTATTACCACATGAGGTTTTTTGGGGGGACACATCTAGATACAAACTGTAACAGGTAATGTTTTCTGGGCATCTTCTAAGGGCAAAAGCTTCTGTGCAGAATCAAGTGAAGACACAGGGATGACTCAGTGCGGGTTCACCCAGGTGCTGTGACTCACACACACAACCAGTTCTCCTCCTGTGTCCCTTGCTCTGCACATGCCACCTTGCACAGGCATGTGCACACGCTGGCTGTGAGACTAACACATACCTGTCTGATCTCTTTAGCAGCCAGAGCAACTGCGGACAGGACTGTCTGACCAACACCGCTCGGACAGGGAAGGTCACGGGCTGACTCAGCCCACTGCATATGGATTCCATCTCTCTCACCATTTCCCAGCTGTACCCTGAAAGGAGAAGGAAGAACTCTAAGTTTCCGACTGGACTCTGGAAAAATCAATGAAAAACTTAATTACTCATGAATAGGCAAATCTATAGATAACTTAATGGGAAATTCATGGACAACTTATGAAAATTTCCATTTGGATTTACAGTGAATTAAAAGATCACTAAGACAAGAAAATAATTTGAGTGGAAAATGTAGATTGAAAATCTGGGAAGAGAGAGGGAGAAAGGCAAGAAGCAAAAAGTAAAAACATGAGAAAAGAAGGAAAAATGGAAACAAAGCTTTTGTAAATAAGAAGGGGAGGAGGAATCGAAGGGAGGGTAGGGGAGTGGGGAAAAAGAATTCAGTTACATCACGTGAAGGCACAAATTCTCTCTAATGAATGTGATCATTACATATACCTAGAATGTACCAATAAAATATGTTTGGAAAAAATAAAGATAAAAGAAAAATAAAAATGGCTCAGTAGAATAAGCGCTTGCCTGGCAAGCACAAGGGCCTGAGTTTAATCCCCGGTTCTGCCAAAAAAAAAAAAAAAAAAGAAAAGAAAAGAAAAAGAGAAGTACATGCCCAAGATCCTAGCGCTTGGGAGGCCAACGCAGGAGGATCACCAGCGCAAGTCCTGCCTGGACTACACGATGAGATCCAGTCTCACAAACTAAGCACAGTGGCAAGCACATGCCCGCCTGGGCTGTGCAGTCGCTCCGTGGCTCAGCGCGGCTCAGCGCGGCTCAGCAGGCACCTGGCCCTGGGCTCCACCTCCAGCATGCGGAAAAGAAAGGCTTCCGCTGGTCTCCCGGTGCCAAGACACAACACTGACACACTTTTATCTACAATAAATATTCTAAGATTGGTCCTTTAGGCACAAATGGGTCATCAGTTTCCTTTTATTTATTTACTTAGCTGTGGCACCGAGGGATGAAACCAGGACCTACATACTCAGCTACATCTCAATCCTATTTTAATTTTTTATTTTGAGACAGGATCTCATTGAACCTCTAAGTTGCCCAGGATGAGCTTGAACATGTAATCTTCCTGCCTCAGCCTCCCAGAGTACTGGGATTACCACTGTGCACCACATCTGGCCCTAATATTCTTTCTCAATTGAGACTTTCTATTTATGTTAACTAATTCTTTTTCTCAAGAAAAGGTGGCTGCAAGATAGTTACTGGTTGTGTGAGTGAGAATTGACTTTTCTGTTGGGTAGTCCAATTACTTACACATTTTGCCTAAAGTAGATGCGCTAGCAAGGCTGACTTTATAAATCATGTAAAGATATGCAGAAAATAAACTTGCTGATTCACGAACAGCATTGAAAACAAAATTAAAAAAAAAAAATCATCCTAAACTACAGAAACTTAGGCTGTGAAGCACAGAAAGGCAAGGAACATTTATGGATATTCTAAGTGGATATGGTCGTTTAACAGCTAAATTTCCAATAAATAGGAATTACCTTTTCTTCAATATTTAGGAAACAGAATTTCTGCTAACAGGAGCTATACCTCCACGACTATAAATTCATACAGTCTCAATTTTAAAATCTGCACAATAAGGACCAGCAAGATAGCTCAGTGACTAAGCTCCTGCTTATGCAAGTGCAGGGACCGGTTTCGATCTCTGGTACCATGTACCACGCGGGCCCAGCTGAGCCCGCGACAGAGTCTGGGCATGGTGGCACACGCCTGTAATCCCAGTGCTGGGAAGGCTGAAAACAGGAGGATCACCAGGAGTCCAATCCGTGTAGTGAGACCCTGTAGACCCTGTACGGAATACATTTTAAAAAATCTGCACAATAAGAAGAGGGAAAAGTCTGCGTTGCTGAAGACGGGGTGAGTGAAGGTTAAGGTCAGCCGCACCGTATCCACCGGGCAGGTCAGTGTTAGTCACGCGCTGTGTACTTCGGTGAGAGGACACACAGGTGAGTGGGTCGCGCTGCGACGGAGATGGCCACACTCTCGGTTCTGTCCAGGGCTGGGCTGCGGGGCCGCGGCTTCACAGCGCTGTGCGCGGGACTCAGGCTGACACTGAGCGAGCCACCTGGGGCCAGGACTCAGCGGGGAGCACCTGCCGCCCGCGTGCAAGGCCGGGGTGCCGTCGCCAGGACGGCAAAAAGAACCACGAAAGAGGACAGGTGGACAACAGGGACAGGGAGAAAGATTTTCCGGGAATGGGAGGGGGACCGAGCCGCGCAGGGAGCGCAGGGCAGGTGTGAGGATGCGTCCGTGCGAGCGCCCACGCCCCACATGCACGCCCCCACGTGTGCGTGCACACATTGTGCGCTGCACACTCGGACTACTAAGAAAATTAAATAAATATTCACGGCCAATGAGTGAAAGGCGCAAGCCGGACCCCAAGGGTGGAAGCCGACATCCCACAGCCCCTCCACGCCGGGCTAACCGACACCTCCCGCCAGAGGACGGAGGTCCAGCCCGTCTGCTGCCCCCGGCTGCTGCCCCAAAGGCCACCACCAGGTGACGTGGAGAAGCAGCGAGCTGGAGGTGAGGCGGGGACAGCGCCCGGGGGGCCCGCGGGAGGCGTGGGGGAAGGAGCGCCGCAACCCGGCCAGTCTTCCTGGGAGGCCAGGGAGGACATGCGTCCAGGTAGGGCGAGAGCCCCCAGCCTGCAGTCAGCTGAGAAGCTTCCCCCTCTTCCTCAGAGGTGCAGCGGGAAGGCCAGCCTGGAATGGGACAAGCTCAAAGAGACCAGCTCCGCACGGGTCAGGGCCACTTGGACCTCCCAGACGTCCCACAGAAGCTGGAGGCAGAGTCGCCATGAGCGCGGTTCCACCTGAGCTAACAGGGAGGAAGCAGGGAGCAGGGCCGGCGCGCACACAGGGCGGCAGCTGCCATCTGCGGCAGATCTGGGATGTGCGCTGGCTGTTACCTTCGTTGGCTTTCTCCGGATGCCATCCTGTCGTCCAGCCCAGGGACAGCGTCACCGCCGGGAAGAAGGATGTCACCGTGTCTATAAAGGGCTTTGCGTCCACGACATTGCTGCTTCCACTCGGACCGGGGAGAATATCGGCGTTAAGCCACACAGGACGCTGCAGGCGACCTCTCACCGTGTCCAAGAGGGCCATGGCCGGCGGCACCGCTGCCAGGCTGGGGTCAGTTCGCGGTCAGTGGGACACAGGATGATGAGAGTCTTAATGGTTTATGGTTCTCAAATTCATGACACAAATAAAAAGCAACAATACCTGAACTAAACAAAATCCAAGATCCCAGAGCACCGGGAGCGAGAGCTAACGCGTTCTAGGTCTCGGACTCTGGGTCTGCACTTCCTGCTCGGAGAAGGGACTTCGAGGTCTGTACATAGTAAATGCCACACTTCTTGGGGGCCACACAGAAGTCTCCAGTTCCACAGCAGGGTCACCAAGCATGGGACAATTCAGAAGAGACACACTCATCAAAGTGTGTAGACAGGACCACAAACCAAGCCTGTTCCAGCCTCTGGGGCCCTCCCCAGGGCGCCAGGCCTGCCTCTGAGGCAGCCAAGACCCTGCCAGGAAAAGCTGCCCCCCAAGATCCGTGGGGGAGTCTGGAGGCACGAACACATTCTAAAAACGACTAGGAAGCATAAAACCATATGTCCTCAAAGCCTTCATTAATTCCACTTTTCCTTTTATTGTAAATACCTTTTTTGGAAAGTGGATACAGGATATTTAGTTATTTAAAATTTAAAAAGCAGCTTCTCTTTCCTTTTTTATATTCTGAGCTGCATCTCCAGTGCCCTTTCCTTTTTTTTTATATTCTGGCTCCGAGCTACAGGCACCTGAGCAAGGCTTTATTCAGCCTACGTTATTTTCACTTTTTAAACAACTGGCCCCAAATGCTGAGGCCCAGCTTGCTGTGGTACACAGTGGGCAGTGGTTAATATTAATAAACTGGTACAAAATTAAATTGAGAGTCTGTCCTAGGCCTACATGACTTGTGGTAAGACCCGTGGGTGGCTTAACGCCAGGTTAATCTCTAAGCCAACGGCCAGAGCGGAGACCCGCAGGCAGTCCGTGACCTTCTGGGGCCTCAAAGCAGAATGACATAGCAACTGAGGGCTGGACTCAGGTAAATCCCATCCAGCTCGGTCTCAGTCAGCAGCCAGATTACTCATTAACCCTGATCTGTTCCTGTGTGCCTTTCCAAAGATGCGTCGTTCCTCAATCCTTGAGGCCTGACTCCCAGCAGCTGCCCCCACTACTTCCTGTGGCCACCAGCACCCCCCAGTCAATCTGTGCACCTAATAATGGCCAAGGTCACCACACCTGGCCCCTCGTTGGCTTAGACCAGCCTGATGCTCCTTGTAACTAAGAAGGGTATCTTGTCTGTGTTTTATTCTGTCGTCTTACCCCTGAGCAAGAGATTGGTGGTCCTAGGCCAAGGGTCCCAATACTCAAACTAAGGGTCAGCCTCCCTACTTACAATTACAATTCTGTCTTCTTTCTTGCTTTCTTCCTCCTCCTCCTCTTCTTCCTCCCCTTCCCCCTTCTCCTTCTTCTGGTACCAGTAATTGAACTGGGGACCTTGCACGTGCCAGGCAGGCGCTTGTGCTGCTGAATTATATCTCCAGACCCTATAATTCTGTCTTATGAATTTCTAAGATGAGTGCTTCTGTCCTTCAGAAGTGCTCACCACCGAGACTGTCACCTTCAGGGAAGGCGGAAGCACATGGGCCCCTCTCCTGGGATGGGACACCCTCTGGGCTCCCACGCAAAAGCAGACACAGGTTGATCATCTCCGCAAGCTGCATGGAGCCCATGCCCCTCTGCTCCACGCACTCCTTCCTCCTTTTCCTACCCCAGATGCAGCCTGACGTGGTGGACTAAGCCCTGGACTGTCCCTGCCCACTCTGACTGGATGCTGATGCTGCCATTTCTGTTTCAGCTGCTTCCAGACTTGTGCTGTGGCAAAGCCATGCTGTGGACAGCTCTGAAGTTCATGCATCCCCAAGTCCTGTGTATGGTGCCTCCACTGGCACAGGGTGAGGCACAGGGTGAGGCACAGGGTGAGTGGCACGGTCAGGCCCATGGCTGCTGGCTGGCCACCTTGGGCCTGTAAGGTTGCCAAAGCCTTGCCTCTCTCTCTCTCTCTCTCTCTCTCTAATTTTTTTATTTTATTTTTTATGGAAGGGTCTACAGGGTGTTCAGAAAGGTCTACAGGGTGTTCAGGGTCTTACTACTAGATCGGACTTGAAGTAATTCACCTGCTTACAGCCTCCCAAGAGCTGGGATTACAGGCGCGTGCCAGCACGCTGTCTCAACTGTCATCTCAGCATACCCCGGGGGCGGGGCCTGCACGGCAGGCCTGGGGATTGAACCCCTGGTCCCTGAACCTGCTTGCAGGTGGTTTAATCTACTGAGCTATTTGGCCAGCCCTGCCTTGTACTTTCTTGAAGCCATTCAATTAGAAAATAGGATTCAGAGGTGAGGCAGGAGCTCAGTGGCAGTGGCTCCTGGGCTCCAGTGGTTTCCCAGAGTCATGGGCTACACCTGGCTTCACCTGTAACTTTTGCACTGCTAGATATGACAGAAGCAGGTGGCCACAGTGACACAAATGATGTCTCATCTGCGCCTCATTGTTAATATTCTGGTCCTTAGAGAATAATCCTCCACAGGGGCTGGAGAGATGGCTCAGTGGTCTAAAGCACCTACTTGGAACAAGCTTAGCAAAAGCATCAGGGACCGCGGTTCAATCCCCCAGCACCACATGCCAGCCAGCCCTGCCCCCTGGTGGGCTGAGCTGGC